TTGGTAATATCATGTGTTGTTCTGAGATTGGCTTTCCATCTGTCAGTAGAATTCAGTGTTACATGTGTAACCTGGTGGGCTACATAAGCTACATGACTCTGACCACAGCACGCTGTCTCACTGACTCTCTGTGTTGACGTGATCAGCCGGGCGAAACTCACTGGGTACACAAATCCTGGATGGTGTGTTCAGGATTGCCACTGGTTACGGCAGCGTAGATCAGTGCAGCGCTAGGTTTCAAGATGTGGTATTGATGATTCTTAACTGGGAGCCTCTCTGAATGGGGCAGACGCAGGGCAGTGGCTGCAATCACACCGACAGTCTTCTGTGATTATTTCGAGTGTCCAAGTTTGGCCTGGCATTACTAGATCCTCCAGATTGGCCACTCACTCTAGCTCACTGTAGGCTGGAACTGAAATGTTCCTTTGTACGCTTCACTTTAATGTACACCGTACAAGTTGGTAACTGGGTAGATCGTTGTAATATAGGGATTACACTCTCACGTGATCCATGTACAAAATGCCTCCAAACTGTAGTTAAAATCCTTTACACTAAAAAAAACATTTACACGTCTTCAGTATCTTGAGGATCTTCTCCCATGTTTCTTTCCGGAGCAGGGTGACTGCTGCCCCTGTGTCCAGCAAAAACGTGAGGTCGTCGTCGCTATTTCGGCCGTAGAGCTTGTATCCTCCTACAGGGGAGACAGGACATAGATTTACTCTAATAGAATGAGCAGTTACTATGTGTCTCTCCAGTGACGAAGGGCTGCCGTTTCCCTGCGGCCTTGCCGTTGGTTCGGCTGCTGCCTGACAATTTCGGGCAATGTGCCCTGGGCGTTGAGTGTTCCTACTGTGAGGACCATCATGCCTTATGCTACGACATTGGCAAATGTAGCTGTACAGAGTTGTCTGGAGTCTCCAGTGGACACTTGTGGGACAGTTACGGTCTATACCTCAGCTGTAGTTTCTGACTACCACTAAGTCACTGGAGTAACACAGTAATGGTATACAATCATGAGGTAATTACAGGCTGAAAATGGCAGACTCTCTGAGACATAATAATATACCAACAGGGTAGCACTTCATTGGCTGAATGCCAGTATAAACCTCTCAATTTTCTGCAACATCTGAACTGTTCATCAGTCAGAGAGCCCGAACTGATCTAGCTACACCAACTCACTGCTCCACCTGTAACCATCTGGCTGCGCTCTTCGATGCCTGACCGAGGCTGTACCTCTTGTACTGGCTGTACCTAACGTGTCCTTATCCCTCTGCACGTATACGCAGCAAGGGTTACTGTACTCAATATACCTGTGAGGTAGCTATGAGAAACAAACAGAGCCATCTGTCACCATGAGCAGATCTGAGTGTCCCCATCATGTGCTTGTCGCTTGTCATTCCTGACCGTATTTTTATGGTGTATTGTGGAGATGGTACTAACAATAATGTCTTCCTCTTTCTAGGATGGAGCAACTCCACTCTTGATAGCCAGTCAAAATGGACACCTGGAGGTAGTTAGACTTCTGCTGATGTCTGGAGCTAAAGATCTACCTTATAAGGTATAAGGATAAATGACCTTTAATTACAGTTAGTGGTCACAGTTTTTGTTTGATGTACTTTTAGGAGGTAGGGGGGTTGTCATGTACATAGTTGTGTGTGACTTTGCTGTGTACTTACACAGCAAGCCAGGCCTATCAATTGGCGGTACTCTCTGCACATGTGTGGTGTGCATGTACTGCAGACTTCTCACACATATTACATGAGCACTCCTGTGCATACAATTTAATGTTGCAATAATGTGTGACTGTCTCTCATTTAGTCAATGAGTGTAATTTCCCCTCACCTCTCAGGATGGACGTACAGCCATGAGTGTCGCAAGAGCTGAGGGTCATCAGCAAATAGTCAAACTTCTACAGCAGTACAAAGTTTAAACTACTCTACGTCTCTCGACTCTACTTCTTCTAACACTGTAGCCTAGTTCTATACTACATATAGGTCATCAGCAACTTGTCTTTTACAGGAGTATATACAAAATTTAAAAGAAAGAACACTCTACCTAACACTGTATCTTGTCTCTTTACTATACCACATACCACAAACTTAAGTAGTAAATTGTCTATCCCTCCTTTTTACAGCTTTTAAATACTGTGTTGTTGCTTATTTTTGTATGTCAGCGTAGTTAGTATACAAACTGTACTCTATGGTTTCGATTTTGCTACACCATGATATCTGCATGCTAGATGCACTTGCCACAGAGGTAGATGCTCATACAACCACCATGTAAATGAACTATTTACACGCATGTGCAAGGAATGTTACAGTGTGTGTGTGTGTTGGGTATTGGAGAATGGATAGTCCTAGAGTTTGGGAGGCGTGTGCCAACCTCACCGCATATGGCTGCCTAGTGGTCGAAGTGTATGCGTCACTAACTGTTGACACACCTACCCACCTCTTTCTACTAGTAGAAGTATGGGCCCTTATTACTCTATGGTTTCTGTGCGACATAAGTTGCAGAAATAGTGGGGGACATAGTATCGCAGCTAAGCAAGGCGCTAATGTTAGAGAGGAACAGAATGCATGTGTGTACTACACACATACAAGCTAAAGAGTAGGGCACAGATCCCCAGCCTTGAGAAATGGGGATAGTGGGTTCAAGATCTTTCTATGGCACCCCAACTTTCCCAATGTCACCGACTCTTAGGTAAAATCTACCACTTACAAAATTGTATTGACACATTAGGCTCTCTGGGGGAATGCTAATCCTATGGTTCTACAAAGCACAGTGAGGTATTTAGGGTGTCATAGGTGTGGATCCTAAGGGGGAAGTAGGTTTGTTACTCTAGGGTCCTATTTAACTTGGTTATAAACACAAGTGCAACACGATGCTATGTGTGCGTGTGCACGCACATGTCTGTATGTAACTGCTAACACTATAGGCTACAAGGTGGCCAACTAGCTAGATGCCAGGGCCTCAGTAGTGCTTATCAGTATTAAGTTTTTGAGAATACTGGTTAGGGCAAGTTGCTGGTAAGCAAGAGAGCTAACCTTGGCTCTTTTCCATGCACCTTGGAATAAAGTTACTTTGGATCAACTGTGTTGTGTGAGCTGCTGCCCTCAGCTTGTGAAGCAGTGAATGGGAAAATTTTCTAAGTTTATTGCATCATTGAAGTCTGTGCATGGATGCAGCTTATGATAAGGTTAAATGGAGTGTTCCTCCGACACACAGGATGGACAGACAGACCAAACCCAGCTCGCTGCACACGCGTGTTTAAGGTCAATAATACCAGTGGAAACACACTAAATCTTTGGCAGCAATAATTAGTGTCGGAGGTAGTTATTAACAACACATTTGAAGATGCAGGGAAGAATGCGGTGATGAAGTGCAACTTCCATTCCAGAAAACCTGAAGATCAGGTAGCCCAGTAGCCCCAGAGAGGCAAGGGACAGGCCCCACAGCCCTCGTCTGATGACCGTCTGTTGAACGTTGTGTCTCTCCACCACACGACGGTAGGGGATACGTGTGAAGGCCACCATTGAATAGAGAGGGATAAAGAGAGACGGGAAGAGATAGTGGAGGGCATTGTCAATCCTTTTCTTGATTAAGAACAGGGGCGAGGTGACGTGGGAGCGCATCTCGATGTAGTTGTCCCCTGCCCGTAGAATGGTACGACGGCATGTGCGGCATCCCCGAGAATGAGAGTGCTTCCAGCCATGAAGTGTGGGGAGCACTTGACTGGTATCATCTTTCCCTGCGGGTTAGCAAAGTAGTCTTTATAGAGACGCTCGACTCCAATCTTATTGATGCTATCGGGAAAATGGGCTTGAAAGAACGTGGGGAGGCTATCTTCATTTCGAATCGACTCAAACACGCTGCAAGGCATGAAGAGGGTGAGGGTGAACGACTTGTCGCGATTGGGAAGAGCAATCATCATGAACTCGTGATGTGGCCAGATGTGGATGAAGTTTGGTTCCATGGCAAAGTCCCTGATGGGAGTTGGAGGCATGGTGAGTCCCTGTAGCCGTGGCTGGATGTACTCCTGCTGATAATTGAGTCGGCCCCACCTCATCATCTGTCTACGAACTGTCGAGTGGGCCCCATCGCACCCGAAAACAAACTCGGTCTGAACCGTCTTCTTTCCCGTGGCTCCATCGCTAAAAACCAGTGTGTTTGTTTCGAGGTCAGCCTGTAGGAGTCGGCTCTCGAAATGAATGGAAATGTTAGGGCTCTCCTCTGCCTTGGTCAGGAGTAGCTCGTTGAGGGCTCGTCTGTTCACAGAATAGATGCAGTCGTCCCGTTTGGTCCCGTAGGGAATAGCGTACTGCGTCCCGCTCAGTGGGTGGATCATTCGAGCTCGCATGGGAATGGCCATTGAGAGCACCTCGTCCTCCAGACCCACTGCTCTCAGGGCCTCCCTGCCGCGACGACTGAGCGCCAGGTTGATGCTCTGCCCGCCGCTGACTCCTGCGGCCGGACGTGGATGTCGCTTCGCGACTCGTGGAGGTGGACGCGGAGGCCCCCGCTGCCAGGGAGACGGCCACCAATGAACCACCAGACTCCGCCCACTATTGTCACTTGCTTTGTTTCCGTCTTCCTGCTCAGGCATGTTACTATCGGGTGCCGTCGTTCTTAAACTAGATATCCTTCAGGTAGGTGCGTGCCACAACGTACTGGTATTACTCCATCCGGCACCAAATAACTAGCTGTAGGAGTCCAGTACATAGCAGGAGGGGTGTTTCCTATCATCAAAGAGCTGGCCGTCCTTGTGTGAATGGAAAGCCCTCTACCCTTTTGGCAGAGTACAGGTTTCCATATACTCTCACATGTTACGCAACCTTCCTCCCTTTTACTCTGAACCGTATGTAAGTGACCCCTTCATGAATCTCATAATGGTACATAATAGTAGCGACAGAGACCTTGACACTCTTTAAGGCCTGAACAGCGTCTCAGTTATCCATGTTCTGGAGAATAGTATGTTTATGCATACAGGGAAGAATGATTCTGCATATAGAAGAGGCCATGTTGAAGCATGAGATATTATGGTATCATGCAGTACCCTAGCTAGTTGATAGCTATCCCCTAACACAAAGCAACAATAATACATGCATGAAGGTATTTAGACCATGTGATGGAGCTCTGGCAGCGTTCGGGCTTGTTGGCCTCATCAGCACCAGCATACCTTGCACACACACACCAGACACTATATGCCTTGAGAATTTAAGTGACGGTAGAGATGGCTAGGCAACTTAATAT